AGAGTCTTAATCTATGGTTCAGGCTAGAGTGCAGTGGCATGATCTGGGCTCAAGGCAACCTACGCCTAGCAGGTTCAAGTGATTATCGTGCCTCAGCCTCCAGAATACCTGGAATAGCTGGGATTACAGGCCTATGCCACCATGCCCAGCTGATTTTTGTATTTTTAGTAGAAACAGGCTTTCACCATGTTGGCCAGGCTGGTCTTGAATTCCTGACTTATGGTGATCCGCCTGTCTTGGCCTCCCAAAGTGCTGGGATTACAGTCATGAGCCGCTGTGTGGCCCCTTTTGTTTCTTTTAAAGCGTTTTATGCACATACGGGGAACATTTTATTCCCACAAATGGGATTAGATCTGTGTATTTAACTCCTAGCTTAGCTACTTTTCCAAATCCACAAAGCCATGTCTATCATATTCTTTTTATTGGCTGTGATGTATGCCACTGTGAGAATGCACCGCACTTATTAAAAGTCTCTCTCTTGTTTTTTTTTTTTGTTGTTGTTGTTATTTCAAGGAAGGTTGGAGTATTTTCGATTATATTTCTTTACTCCACTGTATGAGGATATTGGAAATGTAAATTCCTGGGAAAACCTGTGGGCCAAAGGGCTGTGTAATTTTTGTTTTGATTGACAGTGACAAATTACTGTATGGAAGGGTTATTCCAGTTCATAATCTACTAACAGATGGGCAAGAGCCTATTTCTCCCTTAGTCAGTTTGCTGGGTTTTTGCTTTTCTTTCCTTCACTTACAGTTCTCAATTTTACCATGCTTGATCTCTGCTGCAAATAAACACAAAGTCATCTGAAGTTAGGTTTGCTTCTCCTGAGAGTTGAAGGTGGAGAGGATTCCTCTGCAAAACCAGCCCGTTCCCAGGGGAGAAATCAATTGCATTGCTCAGTCTCGCAAACACTGAGAACTGAAGCCATGCTACTCTGAGTACATTTGGTTAAACTTTGGCTTGTTCGTTCCTGATTGTTGTCCATATGGAAGTTAAACAGTGTTTATTCCTCAGGGTTATGTTTTCGAAGGTTAAATCTCTGTGTAGCATAATGTGTAAAAAGCACTAGCACCATTGTCAGTAAGAAGAGCTGCCTGGGCACCGCGAGCTCTTCACATAACAAGGTGTCAGGGACTTCCTCTGCACTGGTTGTGGACGGCAAGTTGCCCTACCCTGTGGCTAACTGGCTGTGTAATAGTTCATTCTATGCATACACTATGCATTTCTTAGACAGCCTTCTATTGATTAAACTGTAATTTAAAATACATAGCAGTTATTGACGTTAATTAATTTTTTTCAGATGGTATTTTTATTTTAATTTTTTAATTTTTTTTATTTTTAAACAAAAGAATCCAAAATTTATTATGTAGGAATGACAACAGTAAATTTAAATGCCATCATGTGTATTCCCTGTGGCTTTTTTAAATTATTGTATTTTAGGCTGTCGGGTACAAGTGCAGATCATGCAGGGTTGTTTTATAGATACTTACATGGTAAGGTGCTTTGCTGCCTCCATCCCCCATCACCTATATCTGGCATTTCTCCCCATGCTATCCCTCCCCAACCTCCACACCCCCCACTGTCCCTCCCCTAGCCCCCCTCAACAGACCCTAGTGTGTGACGCTCCCCTCCCTGTGCCCATTTGTTCTCATTGTTCAACACCCGCCTATGAGTGAGAACATGTGATGTTTGATTTTCTGTTCCTGTGTCAGTTTGCTGAGAATGATGGTCTCTAGATTCATCCATGTCCCTAAAAAGGACACGAACTCATTGTTTTTTATGGCTACATAATATTAGATTACTTATGGAGGTGACTTGGAAACTAGGTAAAAATACAAAGAAGACAATATGGCACCTGCAAGTTCGCCACCCAGAGATGACCACTGTTTGTGTGTGTGTTTTTGTTTTTTATTCAAAATTGACTTTGCAAAAAAGATACACTTTTACAATATAAGCTTGCAACTTCTTTTTAAAAACATCTGTAGGCTGGGCATGGTGCCTTATACTTCTAATCCCAGCACTTTGGAGGCCAAGGCAGGCAGATCACTTGAGGTCAAGAGTTTGAGACCAGCCTGGCCAACGTGGTGAAGTCCCCGTCTCTACTGAAAATACAAAAAAAAAAAAAAAATGCTGGATGTGGTGGTGGGTGCCTGTAATCCCAGCTACTTGGGAGGCTGCGGCAGGAGAATCGCTTGAGCTTG